ATTCACCTGACAAAAACTCCGTTGCAAAATTTCAAATGTATGTTGAGGTAAATGTGCCTTTTCCACAGATTATGAGAGCGTTTGCAACAGCAATACATCCTCTCTACCGTAATGGCAAGCTCGACCATGGGTATGACTTGGCAGTCCTGATTCTGCCAGAGCCAGTACGTGACGTTCCCATACCCAGTCTGCCAGACCCTGAAGCCTTGACTTGCCCAGGAATGGCAGTGTATACATTGGGTTGGGGGGCGCAAAGCTCTGGCAACGAAAGAGTTATGTCAGACACCCTGCAGCTTGGTCACAAATCACACGTGCTCAGGAACGACTGCAAAGGCAAAGAGGATTGCAGACATGGCTGTCGATGGACAGAACATTTGTTTCTGTGCCTTGAAGGGCACAACACTTGTAAAGGTAAATTCTTTTGCCAGGTTTCTTGTTGCCTGTTGGGCCTATCTTTTTCTGGGTCCAGATTTCTGCCTCATTTTATGAGGCGGGTGCTGCAGTTATCCAAACACAAGAGGTGCAGGCCTGTTGCATGGCAGTGCTGGGGCTAGAAAAAGAATTTTTTGCAAGATGAGAGCACTAAAATTGAACCTGCTGTCTTGATGCACATTGCGCAAGGCTCTGGATCATAAGCAACTTGAACGAATCGTTATGCTCTTGGCTGAAGTGCCTATAGCAAAGAGCGCAGTACCTTTGGGATTGTTGTGATACAATATTACGGTAATAGTGCTGTTTTTATCAGTGTAACTGAAGCGGACAGTTCCTGTCTTGTATGGGGTTTTGGATTCCTGGCAGGTGATTCAGGCGGACCTGCTCTCATCCCGCACATGGTTGATAACTCGTACCTCAAAGGTCGCCCTGAGCTGGACCTCATTGTTGGAGTCACTTCGGGCGGGCCCCCATGCGATAATGCTACAGAGAGCATCTACACACGTGTGAGCACCATGAGGAGCTGGATCTTGTCAGTAACCAAGGTGTGCTTGATCGATCTCAATGGCACAACCTAATGACCAAATTTCATCACAGAAAGCACCTGTTTTGATTGTGACCTCGCCCAGTGTTCTCCTTCCCAGTGACCCAAGTCCTCCTGACCTTTCCGACTTTTCTGCTGTTTTTTGCATGTCTAGCGAACAAGCAATCTGCACAAATAGGATTGGGAAGTAGGGGAAGACGGTCAGGCGGGGGGAAGGGAAGGGGGGGAGGGTAATAAACAACGTTGTTGGGTGCTGTCCCGTGTGCCAACGCTCAATGCGTGCGAAGGTTTGGATTTTATCTTGTGATGTTATCAGCCTGTCATTCACTCAGTTCACCAGTTCTACCGAAGGATGCCTTGGAGGTGTATTAGCCTGTGACAGTGCATTTCTGGTAGCTGCTGTTTGGTTAAAACATGTAATGAATGTTCTGCATGAGGCGATTCTGACCACTTGCATTTGTACTTTGGGATAATTGAACTGCACAGGTGGATGTTGTGACCTCTGGGTTTTGGAAACTTGCCAAATTCACATATTTCCAATTCAAATCATGCAACATTTGCTTTCCTAAGCGACTCTGTTCTGTTTGGGCATGGAGTAGTTTTGCGAGTGTTTTGCTCATGTTGTTGAGTTTATCCAGGGGGCACTATCATCAACCTTCATCGTTCTAATCCACGTGTTGTGTGTCTGGCAGAATACTGAACTGATACAGAACTCAGGCCTATCTGCACTGCCTCAATTGACGGTATGCAACTTGTCATCCTACATTCTTGTGGCCTCAAAACCTTGTAGAGCTGCCCCATGACAAACTCCGCTCACTTTGTAAAGTACCACAGGCAATGCCAATTCCCAGCTGCTTTCATTCCCTTTTCTGGTGCGAGGCATGAAAGATGTCCTGATTTCTGCAATGCATGCAATTGGGATGCACCGCATTGATCCGATCTGAGAGGTGAAGGGCATTTTCTATTCACCACTTCATGTGCCTCGTCGCCTGCTGCCCAAGCCCCGATGTTTGCTGCAGATCTGTTAGGTGGAAACCTTTTCCCAGGCTTGACACTGCCCATGACAACAGGTCACCAGCGTCAGTCCTAGCAGTTTCTAATTGCTTGTGAGACTGTTTGTCTGTATATGTGTGCGCCATAGGGAGGTACGTTTTGGATGCTTTTTGGCACGTGGTTCAACGGTTTCAGCTGGGTCTGCATCGTTGTGGTGCATGTTCAACTATTCTCCAAACTGGTGAGAACAGTGGCACTGCCACTTTCTGCATCTTGCCTGGATTGCCATCTGAACCGCACCTGGTTCATGCAACATTCACTTAATATCTCCACTCTCTGCACTTAGGCAAAACAGTAAGCAACAAATGTATGCACTGCCTTGTAAAGCTCTTGGCTGGGCCCATAAATAAGTTTTATTGCTTTTGGAAGACCTCAATAAGCATGCTTGACATTGTGCGAATCGGAACAGCTTTTGACAGGAAGAACTTGACTGTGGTGTCCTTTTGCATGCAGCCACCACCATAAGTTTAGGCAAGGCTGCTGTTGACACAACGATTTAGCACTCCAAAGAGTTGCGGCTCGTTGTTGCATTTCCTCTTTCTTGCCATTGGAAGTTATACATGTGCAACCCACCAGGTTGCTTGTGTCCAGTCTGCCATGTATCGATTCATAGCCTAGCAGTTGCTTATTCAACATGATTTCCTGTGAACGGACATGTTTCTCTATATTAAATATTCTGTGTTCATCAACAGCATGGATGCCGGCACCAGAATAGTGTTCTGATCCCAGGCAACGAAGTACTGCAGAAACGCTTGCAAATGGTGAGGATCTGGGGGATTTTTTCCCTATACATTCAAATACATGATAGTGCTATGAGTTTGCAACAAGGATCATTGATGTCAGTTGTGTGGCAGGACAGGTTGCAAAGAATGCAACAGGCTCACTCTTGGTGGGCCCACCCATGAGCTGTTCACTTGCCAGTCCATGCTGTCGCGCCCATCAACCATCGCCTGGCTCTATTCTTGATTGCTTGGAGTGTTCTTGCCTGTGACAATGCTTGTGTTGTGTGGTGGTTGCAAAGTCAATTCCTGCGACCAAACCTTCAGTGGACATGCAGCCAAGTACAAGACGATCGGTGGTCAGGGGCGTTGCTGAATCTCAACATCAGGAGGACAGTTTTGACATGCCTTCCATTGAATCACATGCCCATGCGCCATCAGCCAACCCAGGTCCATTGAAGCAGCTTCCCTCACCACTTTCGCCCAAGCTGCTTAACTTCGTCCAGGAGTTGGGCCACAGTCCCTTCAGTACGGTGTACCATGCTACTGTTCATGGCGCAGATGTTGCCGTGAAGATGGTGAGCGGTCCAGTCAGCACAGAGATTATGGAAGTGTGCAACGCATTTCTGAACAAGACGATCTGCCACCCTAATGTGGTTTCCGTCCTGGGAGTCCACAAGGTGCAGCATCCCTTCCTGGACACCTTGCCGACTGTGCCCCAAATCGGGGCATCTCCAGTGCCTCAAGACTATGGCGATAATCATTGTGTCTGGGTACTGTCGGAATACTGCAACTCAGGCAGCCTGGAGACGGCGATCCGTGAAGGAGAATTCTGGGAAGATGGCGCACTGGACAAGCCCAGAATGCTGGACATACTGTTTGCTGCGCGCGACATTGCTCAGGCGGTGGAGCACTTGCACGATAATGGGTTCGTTCATGCCCACCTCACGCCCAGGAACGTGCTACTGAAGGTCTGCTGTGATCAAGTGAGTGATTGCCAGATTTCTTATTTGTTTGTGTGAAAATTATAGAGTGTTCCCACGCATCTCAGTGGGCGATGATGTACATGAATCGATGCAGTTGTCTGATTTCCATGTTCAGCGAGATCTCGTCTCGGATCCATAGCTTAGAGTCATATCCTTCCTCAGAGGCGGGCTTCCTTTCTGTTATCAGGTGCAGGAGCGCAAGACTTGCAATGTCGACCTGTCGGGGCTCACTCGAAGGATCTGCAGTAAATGGCACCAGCCGCGCAAGATGTCATCCAGGACGATGTTGCACACGGCGCCGGAGCTGCTCAAGGGAGAGGTGGCACCTGGCAGGGCCACGGACGTCTTTGCTCTGGGCGTGTTGTTATGGGAGCTGCTCACAGGCAAACTTCACCCTCCAGATCGGACCAGGGAATACATTCTCAGGGGGTGCAGGCCGAGTTTGCCAAAAACATGCCCTGACGGTTATGCCAGGCTCATCACTGATTGCTGGCACGCTGATCATGGGAAAAGACCAAGTGTCAGAGACATCGTTCTTCGGTTGCAACAGATGATCAAACTGGCGATCAGGCTGCCAGGACCAGCAGGTGTTTGGCTTGGAACGTCATCTTCTGCTTCCGAAAAGAT